CCACAGTGGGTACCACCCGTGCATGGCTCCTCCTAACTCATCAGCTAAGAAGAATTGCTCTTTGTTCCAGTCGTTTTTTTCCACCACTGATCTTCTCATTAGGCTTTAATACAAGTCTGTAAGGTAGGTGTTATTATCCCTATTTTCTTATGAGAAAACTGAGGTGCAGAGGAATTAATGACTAGCTGAGAAGAATTTAAACTCTGGTTCATCTGACTTCTAAACCCCAGTGTCCATTGGGCCAGCATTAGGCAGTTAGATTCATATTAGAGATGCATATTAACATCCAGAAAGCTCTGAAGAGTTCTACAGTAAAGGAACCTGTTTAATCCTACTTCTCCTGAACTTATTTGATGGTGGGACTTTTTTTTGGGCGGGGGGTCTTATTTCTAGAATCATAAACCACATAGAACTCCTCTTCCACAAACACACTTTGGAAAACCTGGCACTAGGCCTAGCTGCCTGCTGATTACAATCCTGTCTGATAGAAGAACACACACCCTCAGATACATTCTGGTGGTCAGTATCGTTTCCTCCTTTTTCTTACCCTTTCATGGACCCAGGAATAATCACCAGCTCCATCTTACAGGACTCCCTTTATTCATTTAAGACCCCACACAGGAGCAAATGCTACAGTGTTCTACTGGAAGAGTAGTGGTGGAAGGGGCCTCTCTAGAGCGGTCTGCCAGGGACTCCTCTACCCGGCTCTGTGCCCCTTCGCTATCTTTAGTCCACAGACATCAGGCTGTAGAACCTCTGTTTCAATGAATGCCAAAGAGAATGCAGCAGAGTAAGCCTGAAGACGCATCTGTCCTCCATGCTTGTGTCTCACAGTCCAAGGGGGAAGAATTAGACCTGCTCACCTCCCACACTGGGGGCTGGGGTATGGTGCCAGTTAAATGACTATGGGTTCTGGATTTGGGTTTCTTAGGGCCAGGCTGGAGTACAGATTTCTCACAAAAGTCAGTATCTGTAGGAAAAGCTGAGCTTCTAGCATGGGAAACCACACAAGTCACATCTAGAATGCCAGAGGCGGAGCAGAATCAAGGTCAAGGTGGCTGAGCCAAGGTGTGGACGTTCAATAGAGATGCACTTTGAAAGAAAATCAAGAATGAATAAGAACAACTTGGGGAGGCTGGCCTAGCACTTGGAGGGTGCTTGGAGACCAAGGTTGGGTTGGCTCCAAGGGCCATCTTTTGTTCTTTCCTTGTATTTTCACCTTGGGAAATGAATAGTGGTTAAGATGAAAAGAACTAAACAACGTCGAACAGTTCTCCCCCACTCTACCCTCCCCCGCACCCCCCCC